CTCTTCATAAAAACTAACCGTACAAGAATAGGTTTCCCAGAAGACTTTATCTTACATATGAAATCTGTGAATTACACATTAACTTTCTAGTAAATAGAATAATTAGGAATTTAAATTTTTTTAAATAATATTGAAAATATAATCTGAAAGCGATTAATCAAAATTTCCTTTTAGGGTGCTTTCTCATAAAATGGAAAGATAATTTAGACATGTACCAAAATACAAACTATTTTCATAGAACTTTTCAGTGATCTAGCAATTCAAAGCTGGCATATCATGCTCAGAGACTTTCCTCTAATAAAAAATCTACAAAGACAGTGATCATATAAATGAGTTTCCTCTATTTCTTTAGCTTAACTTTGTAGATGATGTCTGGTAACACCCAGCTGAGAAGTTCTGGTTTTTGTTTTACAGTTGACAATGAACATTTTAATAGTCCCTCTTCAGATTTTAAGGTAGTGGGATTAGATTTTAATCTTTGTTTTATTTTTCAAATCATGTTAACGAGATTTTCAGAATTTTGAATCCATGCTAACAAATATAATTCTTAATTTATTCTTTTTTCATATCATGTGGTTTTCCCTTTTATGACTAAACCCCTATTTACCTAACCCTCACAGTAAAGTTGCTTACTCTTTAGTGGAGGAAGTTATTTTTATACATCTGTAAATGTGCAGGAGTTTCTCAGTGGAATATATACCTAGACTGGTCTTTTCAGAGGGAAAGGTAGGGATAGCACATTCTCCACTTTAAAGCACTGCAGAAGCAGTTCTATTCCAGAATCTCCCTGAACTGAACACATGAGAAACAACATAAAAATGTTCTGTCACACCTCTTCATAAAACTAACGTAACAAGAATAGGTTTCCCAGAAGACTTTGATCTTTACATATGAAATCTGTGAATTACACATTAACTTTCTAGTAAATAGAATAATTAGGAATTTAAATTTTTTAAATAATATTGAAAATATAATCTGAAAGCGATTAATACAAAATTTCCTTTTAGGGTGCTTTCTCATAAAATGGAAAGATAATTTAGACATGTAACCCAAAATACAAACTATTTTCATAGAACTTTTCAGTGATCTAGCAATTCAAAAGCTGGCATATGCTCAGAGACTTTCTCTAATACCAAAAATCTACAAAGACAGTGATCATATAAATGAGTTTCCTCCTATTTCTTTAGCTTAACTTTGTAGATGATGTCTGGTAACACCCAGCTGAGAAGTTCTGGTTTTTGTTTATACAGTTGACAATGAACATATTTAATAGTCTCTCTTCAGATTTTAAGGTACATGGGATTAGATTTTAATCTTTGTTTTATTTTTTCAAATCATGTAACGAGATTTTCAGAAAACATCGGTTGGCTCATGCTAACCTTGCCTTGCACTCTGCTCCTCAATAGTAGGCAAGTTCCTGAGCCATTCCCCAAATTTGGCTGACATGGTAACAAAATATAGCACACATGTATATGAAGTTTCTTGACTCACATATATAGTAGATATATATCACTATATATACATATTCCTAGTGAACCTCAGGAAAGGTAAGGTGAAAGTTACTCTTTATTTTAAATCTGATGGCACTATTTGACATTTTGCACTTTTTAGTTAACACTATAAAGGACCTATAAAGAAGCTAGTATACCTGAGCATTGCCTGTGGCACTGAAGCCCAGATCTTCTCAAAGATGCCCATCTGCTGAACACATTTGTCATGCCTTTATGGGGCCAGTCATTCCATTTACAAAAGTTATAAACACTTCAGAGTTTTAAAATTGTTTTTAAATGTTTAGAATCCCAAAGTGATGTGGAACAAATACAGAAAAGATAGCTGATATATGTGAATATAAATCTGGGTAGTAGATACCCCCTCTTTTCTGAGTGTTTTACATAGGCCCCATTTTGTGACTAGCCCAATGCAAGGAAGCCCATTTGTTTCATGACCACCTATTGCATGATGTTCACATCCTATTTTTTTATCCTAAGAGATTAAGGGAAAGAATGAAACACTTTGTCGCAGTTCAGTTCGCCAGTTGGTCTAGAATTATTCATAGAAGCCCACTGAGTTCCAGGCCCTTTTCTGGCTATAATGATGGGGGAACCAAATGCCCCATTCTCTTGTGTGTTTGTTTTGTTCACCATTTTGGGTTTTAATTTGTATGTGATTGCCAGTTTCCTTGTACATTCTTCAACTGACATCCTATAAATCTTTTCACTAGCAAATTTTTGTGACACACACCTCTTTTTAGTATATTGTAATTTTAGTTAAGTATGTAATTTCTTACTGAAGCCCATCATGAGGGGATAGGAAACATTCATGACCTCTAATCTCACCTGCTCTAAGCCATCGGCCCTACATGATGGGCTGCCTCCACTGGTTGGGAGTCACCATCGGGAGGCCTGTACCACCTTTGCTTCTCAGCTCAGGGGCTCTCTTCTGTTCTCCTGGTCCCTGGCATCCTCCCTGCTGGCTCTGCATTTCCGTTTGTCACCTATTACTTTCTGAGTTAAATGCCACCTCTGGGAAGCCTCTACCATGGCCTGTTACTGCTCTTCTTTTAAATTTGTGGTTTTATTTGAGGGTTTTTTTTTTCCCCCATTGTGGCTTTGAGTTGATTTTTTGTGAATGGTATCTCTACCTTAGCAGCCTGTGAGTTCCAGAAAAGCCAAGTGTGACTTTTTCTCCAAAACAGTGTTCTTGGAGTAATGTACAGACAGGTCTTCCTAAAGTTCATATAGAATACATACTTTGCCCTTATGTGTTGGGTCTGCATGGTAGAGCAGCACTGCATATTTCAGCATACATCTCTCCTGGTTATGCTTCCTAAGGGCTTATGAAGGCCCCCAGCAAGAGCCAGTGTCCCTTGAGAGGTGACAAAGTCCTCACTAACTTGTTGTGTGAAGGCCAATAAGTTAGAAGATTTGAGTCTCAGAATTTGTGTCATGTCAGGAGACAGTCCACTACTGAGTAGGTCTTAATCTTTATAAGGACAGTTCACATTGGTAAAATATACAGTACTTGTCAAAGTATTGGTGGTTAAACTTATTTATTTTCATAAAGCAGATTGTAAAATGTGAGGTTTTCTGTAAGTCGGTGGTGGTCTCATTTCCTTTCTTATCTGGCTTTTGTCATTTCACAACAGGCACTGAGATTTAGTTTAATATTTTTATTACATATGAATAATAGAGAACATGTATTGAGGTTTCATAGATGTTATTTTGTTAAATGTACATCATGGTAGATTTAAAAATGAGAAATTTAGTTTGTTATTCATAAAGTTGTAATAAAGTCTGGAAAAACTATTTGTTAAGGATAGCATCTACTTAACCTGCTTATTTATTTCTTGTAGAAGAAGGTTAGATCCACAATAAATACATGAAGAAATAAGTAGATAAGGGAATTTATCTTGGAAATAAGATCCCTGTCATGGTTTTGAAATGTTAAATGCATGAAGAACCATCAAAGAGATATACGGATATGATATTTTTTTACAGTGCATTTCAAAGTATTTAGTTATGTTTGTCATTCTCTCATACAGTAAGCAATGATCAAATGATGCAGTAATTTCAAAGTCAGTGTGCTCTAATGGTTGTAAATATAGTATCTCCCCACATATATTATAGAGAAAACTAAATTGCCAATTTGCTATTATTGCAGCTTAAGATATGTTATGACATTTTTTAAACATTCAGGAATTTTTACTTCTCTTACATTTAAGATCTAACTTTATAAACATTTGTAACAAAATAAGAGATTTTTACAAAAAACAATTCATAATTTGATTCATAGGAATTTATGCAACTCAGACTGATTAATTTGTTAGTGTGTCCACATGTACTCCAGATGCTAATTACTTACATCTGCCCTACTGAAGCTGTGGAGAATTAGTAGAAATCATGGTTAAAGGCATTATGTACAAGTATATACTCTTTCTTTAGCTGCTTTTTGATAACACAGTTTCAAATACAGTTATTAAAACCCTGTGCTTTTTATTATATTAGCTGTCTAAAACTATAGCCCAGTTTACAGTAGTCAACCTGTACTGCCATGGTGTCTCTGTCATGTATAATGTTTATCAACTTATTAAACTATTATAATTTTGATTATTAGATTTTAATTTGCTTTTATTTAACTGTTCATTATCCTAAATGAATGAGCTAGACACTAGTATTCACAGACACTGCTTTAAACTCAGTTGTGTTAGAAATGAAAATTTGGGAGATGCTTTCATGAACGCAATGAATGCAATGATCAATCAGAGGAAGTGTTAGTGGTTGTGCTTATGGATGCTTCATATGCCCTTCATTTTTTAGGGTATTAAAATACTGTAAATTGAATTGGGATCCTGAAATATTTCCTTACAGAAGATCTGATTTGTTATTTTCGGTATATATATTTTTTCGTTCAGGAAATAACTTTGCTTTTTGTCAAAGACTCATTTTATAAAAATCTGTAGTTATAATCTGTATTAATTTTTATTAATGGAAACTTTTTATGTGCCCCTGCTAATCCAGAGGGACCTCCAGTTAGGATGCACTTTGGGGCCCTCTTCTCCCTGAGAGCACGGTTCATGGGCATCTTTCAGGATCAGTGTGGTTCCAGTGGCCCAGCTGCTGCCTGGCAGACAGCAGGGCTTGTCTGAGTGGTCGAGTATGGATAGCATTTCATTTAGCCTTTGCTCTGACAGCCCATGCCCTGGATAAGTGGTGTAGGCCTGAACAGGTGAAATCTATTCTCACTTTTGCCTCAGGGGTGACTGGACTGTAACAGAATTTTTCAAACCCGTTGGGCCCAACCGCAAAGCAGAGAATAAATGGCTGAAGTGCCAGACCTCGACAGAAAAATCAATGCCTGGTTATACAGACATGACAGACCCGGCCTGCAGCCCTCCTCACAGAGGCTGTGTGCACCACACTTCAGTACCACACGCTCTGTCTGGGGCCTTGGATATGACCGTGCACATGGAGTTCACGTTGTTCTCTCACCCCCTCATGCAGGAAATTCACATGCCACTTATGTGACAGAAGCTTCACCGAGAAGTGGGCCCTGAACAACCACATGAAACTCCACACGGGAGAAAAGCCCTTCAAGTGCTCCTGGCCCACGTGCCACTACTCATTCCTCACAGCCTCCGCAATGAAAGACCACTACAGGACGCACACAGGTGCGCATGCCCCCCAGTCCCGGGGCCTGGACAGGAGGAGTACGGGTGGGCTCATTATGGAACCAATGGAAATGATACCTATTTGCAGAATTGAAGATTCTGTTAATTAAGCTGGGTGTGGTGGTACATGCATGTAATCTCAGAAGGAAGAGGTAGGATCATAGTAAGTTGGAGGCCAGCCAGGGTACATAGCAAGGTCAAGGTGAGCCTGAGCTACTTAGCAAGATCCTGTCTCAAAAAGACCTAAGGGCAGGGGTTGTAGATAAGTAGCAGAGCACTTCCTACCATGCACAAGTTTCTGGGTTGATCCCCAGCACTGGAAAAGAAAAAAAAAGACTAACAACCTAAGAGATTATGGCAATTATATGCGAAGAGGTATGATTTCATTGCTTTTCAGTGATGCTCAAAGCAGCTTTAATGTAGTATGCTAATGTGTTAGTGTGTGTGCACTTGTCTAAACAGAATATTTTCATATTTGGAAGCCACATCACTTTAGATGTGATCTCCCTCAAAGATCAGTTGAAATGTGAAGTTTTCAAAGAAAACTGTCTTGTATTTTGTTAGTGATGTGAGCTAAGTACCATTAATATTTTTTGAACATAGTGAATCTTGCCTATTTTTGGTACCATTTAAAAATTATGAAATTTAATATCTCTCTTCAGTGGAGAATACTGTCAGACCTAAGAGTTTTTGGTAATTAATAAGTTGAGACTAATCTGAATTGAGCTACTTTGATTTTTCAGGAAAGCATCTATTAAAAAAGTCCACATTCACATAAATTTTACATGTAAACATTAAAAAGACTGTGAAATGTAAACTAAATAATAGAGCAGTGTTGAGAGTCCATTTGTGTTGGGCGTGGTATGCTGATCCTCAGTTTGGGATATATATATATATATATATATCCCACTGAAACACTGTTGTCATATGCTGTGTTTATGATTTGTTTTGCATTTTCCAGGACAGTAGCCCAAAACTTCCTCACAAGCTTGTGTTTTGTACTTCTTTCTTCATGTTGCTGAGACACTTAGTATTGTTGTGCTCTTCTTTCTTTTTATCCCTCTCAGAATGTATTTGTCTCAGGGAAAAAATAACAAGTTTTAATCAGCATTCCAGAGTATGCTTTTGATTGCCAAGAATCTTATATTATTGTTAGAAATTATAGGTTAAAAGTTCTTCTGAAGCAGTTTGTGGGAAGCCTAGGCCTCCTTAGCTTCCTTGACAAGGGTGTTGACGATTTAAGGTCTCCAGCCTGCCCTGAGAGATCACTTATATCGAACAGCAGATGAAAAGCCAGTGCAGATGTAATTTATCGTCGGCGTTTCCTTCTAAAGAATAATTGTGGAGACTTGGCTGGATCAATAATATGGATTTTTGTTGTTAGGTCTTGTAGTCTGCACCATAATGAGAGATAGGGGACAGTGGCTGTTTTCTAATAGAAAATAAAGGATTGGTTTCCATGTCTTTCTACATTTGAATGCAAAATGGCACATTTGAAACTAATTCAAATTGTTACAAAAAAAAGTCTCTCATTAAATCTCTTCCCTCATATAAATATGGCATGCTAAGTGAGCCCCTTCTATATTGAGTGAGAGATTGCATTTATATTTTTCTTAAATTTTTTCCTCAAAAAATACTCTTTTGACCACTGTTCAACCCTAAACCCTATACCCTCAAAAGAGAAAAATAAAAAAGCTAGTTGAAAATTGAATTTAGACAGAAAAACAAATCAAGTTACCACGGTAAACATGACATATAATACATTGGAGACTGACATCCTAAATAAAATCCTACACATCAAAAAATCAAGGTCACTAGTTATCTAAAACCAAATTACCTGAATAATGAATAATTTTGTCTTGGTGTATGTATATACCTTAAAATAGGAAGGTAATAGAACTTAGTGAATGTAGCATTCATACATACATTTGTGCACATACATGTATCACTACATGTAGACAATATAAATCCAGTGAAGGTTTTTCTGTGCTTGTTGATACTTTTAATTTGTAAAAAAAAATAGGTCATAGAGGAGTTCATAAATGGCAGAGGGAAGACTTTCCTGAATGCAAGTACTACAGGAATGCTCCCTCCTTGTTTGAAATTTTGAAAGATGGATGCTAGTGCACCTACATTTCCTCTTCTTCCTCCTGTGGGATGCATGTATGTGTATGCTTGTGCATTTGTACAGACAGATGTATTCCCACACACGCACACCTTATGTGCTCTTTGTACGTGTTTAAAAATGTATGTGTCTCTGCCAGTATGCACAAAAGAGCCCACAAAACTGTGAATAAATTGCAGGGACGATCCTGCTTCAGCATAGAATAGTGTGTTAACATTAAGGTGCAAACTGTATTGGGGATAAAGAAAAAGTCTCCTTCAGTGTCATTTTATTAACGATACAACTATTTAGAAAAGATTTCTGATTGAAATTGATTAAGTAACTAAATGAATGGTTAAAATTAAACTTTTTTCTTTATAGCCTATCTACTGTATTCTTTCTATATCATAATAATGATACCAAGGCATGAGCTTAACCTCAGAGTAGGAAAGTGAGGTCAAACAGTATTAATCTCACCTTATGTTTAATAATACCATTGGCAAGTATGATTAAACACGTTTTGGTTAAGTGGTTTCTGTTAATGAGTGTTTATTTAAGTTAGAAAAGCCAGTGATACTCTAAGTCATGGGAATACTCCTTTTTAGTTACCAGAGTTAGTTTTCCTCACTATGTTTATTATATATTCTACCTTTTAAAAGGCAATTATAATTTACAAAAATGCTGCAGTGACATTTCTGTTATTATGTACTAAAATGCTTGAACAAAGCAGGCTGATGTGGCAAAACCCTGGAAAGACTTGTTGCATTAAATGTCCAAGTGAGTAAAAGTGGATAAAGATATATACAGATGACTTATTTTTCTTTCTGAGGAAGTATTTTATAATTTCACTGAATCCCTCCAAGGTTAGCATTTTTATTCTGTTTTGCCCTTCTTTGTGAGTCTTAAGGGATGAACTGCCTAGCTGGCCAGCACTTATTGCCTACATATGCTACAGTAGAGAGATATATTGCATTTATAAACTGTAGGGAAGATGTTAGCTTGTGTAAAAATGCTTTAAAAACGAGCATTTGCATGCTTAGCTTTGCCTAATCGTCTCTTAATTATTGCAGAGGTTTCTAAGCCAGAGCTATCATTAAAGATAAATGCAGAGTTATTGTGAGTTTCTTTACCAATCCCTGGTAACTTTCCATGAAGGTTTGAGAAGTATAAACAGCATTGAATTGCTCTTGGTACCGAGTAATATAAATTTCTTTGTTACTTGGGATCCTCAGTATATTCAAGGAAACTATTTATACCATTAAGTATTAAGTGATTAAAAGAAGACCCAAATAAGATCAGGTAAAACCAATCCAGTATTCTTAAGTTGTTAGAAAATTCAATATATTTTATTTAAACAGAATCATATATACTGTATATTAGCTATGCCAAGCAATCTTTACTCAGCTCAGAAAGGCCAGATGTATGGGAATTGTAAAAAATTGGGATATGCATAAAAACTGTTCGAGTGCATAAAGCAGCCCCATCTGGAAGACATCTACCAGAAATGAAGTTGTACAAAACCATTCCATTGATAATAAAGCTAATTTTTATGGGTCTGACAAGTATGTAATTATGTTCAGTGGTGCTTTTCAGATTTTATCACAGTCAATAAACCTCAGTGGTAATTTCATTCCCATTTGACATATTTACATGGAAACATTTGATTGGAGGAATTAGTAACCCTGAAAGCCTTGATAGATATGTTTTAATGATCTGTGACCTCCACAGTCCCTCATCTGTTTATTGTTGCAACAGGCGAGAAGTCGTTTCTTTGTGACCTCTGTGGCTTTGCTGGTGGGACCCGGCACGCCCTCACCAAACACCGCAGGCAGCACACAGGTCAGTACCGAATCTGTACCCAGCCATTCTCTGCAGAAACCAGCTACCACTCTTGGCCTCATTGATTACTTTTCTGTTTATTTTAAACCTTACATTATTCAAATAGAAATTTCTGTATTCCCTGAAGTACACAGTTTTTATAAAAATTAAATTTTCTGCTTTTACATATTTAAAAAAGTACAGATTGTATATTTTAGTGATCAAGTATCCCTAGTAAATTCATGTTAAGTGGGTGAAAAAAAAACAATTTGGCTCCCAAAGCCCAGATGTACAAGGCTGTTTTCTCTATCTGCAAGACTCTGTCTTAGTCTCATGTGTGTGATCTGGGGAGCCCACATTGATGATCTCCTTATTGGTCCTTCTCTCTTCAGGTGAGTAGCAGGGATCTCCCACTCACCCGACTACTTAGCAACCTATATGTGTAGTAGCTACCACCCCCCTTCCATCTGTTTCTCTGACTGCCTACTCTCCTGTCCATCATTCCATCTGTGAGTAGATATAATTTGAAGTAAGTTCTGGTTCAGTTATTCTTTCAGTTAAAATGAATAGCAACATGTGAGAGAATTATGCATTTTAAAGAGAACCACCCCCCTACAATGTCCATTCTTGGTGATTCAACAAAATAGACTCCTGGCTTAGACACACTAAAAATGAAAAGTTTTAAGCACTAATCAAATTTCGTTTCATGTTTTCTATAATTACTTTCATAATCCTAAATTATGTGTGACCAGGACAGCACTGTTTCATCGCAATTGTTCATTGTAATTATTATAAGAGCCACAGTTTGCTGGTAGTTCTTTTCTAGGGAAGATAATGAGTCACGTGGTAGCATAATTGATAAGTAAATGTTGTGCCTTTTTTTGTTTGTATACCATGAGATTGTCTGGTTTGATAGTCACATTCCAAATGATCTAAAGTTAAAGTGCATGAAATACGTTATTTATGGTACATTGTGAATTTTGAAATGCTATGTTGTATAGACAGAAGCAGCCCCAGTACCCAAGGTAGCATTTGCAGGATCAGTGAAAATGAGTGGCAGCTGTAGCTCCTAGCTCTTGAATGTGTGCAATTCAAATTTCCTTGTGGAATAAGAGCCAGTGAACCAAAGGGAAATTTTCACTGTCTAGATTAATCTTGGAAACATAAACGTAATTCTAAGAACAGAAAATACCATTGTGAGTTTATAAAAGCCTTCCGTGCATGCATTGTTTCAATCCCTGACTTAAGGATTCAGTGTAAGGTGACAAGAGGGCACACTGGATGGCAGTCGTCCTTGTCGGTGTTACGCAGCAGTTGGCAAGATGTGTAAAAACTGTGTTCATTAGGATTTTTATTCATAATGTCAGCTTATTGGTATCAAAGTGTTACGATTTGTGTTATTATAGCTCACTTGGTCCCATCTGGTGTGGCCCCAGGGTACAAGAGACTACCCTTCTCTGCCCCCAGTCCAGTAGCAGTGCCCCTCTTACCCCACAGTAGAATCTGTAACACTGCCATCAAGGGTGTTCCAGGTGATGGATCGATCAGGAAGCCTGCATCGAGCCAGCACAACTTTATATTTTATGTCAGGTCCAGAAGCTCCTTATTACTTTGCTATTAACTTTATACCATATAGGACAATGTCTCACAGACAGAGGTATCTGTCTTTTTGGCATTTATCTGCCTCTGTGGCACAAATCAAATATGATTCTTTAATATCAAAGTCACTTCTTAAGACTGTTCACTTCAACAAAACAGCTCCTTACAACTCAGTCTAGGCACTTAGGTTTTAAGCTGGATTTAAAATTTTTAAGCAACTCGCAGCTGTTTTTTTTCTCCCCTAGGCAAGACTTGACTAGTACATTTGAACTCTGTATTTCTCAGCTGTCTCCCTCTTTGACATGGTTTACCTTTTTACCACAGAATGCCCAGGCAAATTACAATCAGGTTGGAAAGGGATAGGTATCCAAAGTGTTCCAAATGGCGTAAATAATTCCCTACTGCAATACAGACTGTCTAGGGGGCTGACACAAAGCATCTTCCATTCTGAGATTTACTTTTATCACCTGTCAGAGACCCTTGATTCAAGGGCACAGGAGCCAATCCTTACGTGCAGTTGAAGAGTCCTGGCCAGCTTAATAACCATCAGCCCACCCTAAGGAATGCGAAGTGTGATTTCCAGGAGACATGGCCAGCCAGTCTGACAGATGGTTGACACACAAAAGGACAGGGCACTATGGCAACAAGCTATTCTGGTGTCCCTGCTCCGTCTGTCCTTTACTTTTCTATCAGCAGTATGTAAGGTGCACAGTATTCCTTAATAGCTATTTTGGCCGAGATTAATGTGTGTAAAGGAAAATATAAAAAGCAATACAGTATAAATTAATAAATTTTGTCATGTACAGAAAAATTAGAAAGAACAAAAGTTTCTCTTTGTTCTACATTCTTTTCTTTGAGTCAGTCTTCCTATATTGTTCAGGCTATTTTCAAATTTGTGAGCTCTAGTGATTTTCCCACCTGAGCCTTCCAAGTAGTTTTGGTACTATAAAGACACACCTGTCATTGTTCTACTTTACTTGAGTAGGGTATATGCAGGTTACTATGTTGACTAAAGATAGTATTGTTGGAGTAGTTAATATCTCAACTCAGATTTATTTATCCTTCTGGATTTGGAATGACAAAAAATTTTGAAACACTACTCCAAACCCATGGTCCATCAAAGACTCTTCCTTTGCAGGTCTGTATACCTTTTCATTGAATCATTTCAAACAAATATTTAGCAAACTGGAATTCTTATTTTAAATCTTTAAGATTTCTTTGAATCTTCATGGTCTAGAAGTTTAATTTATATTTTTGAACTACGCATTGAGAGTAACAACCGAGAAACTCCATCTGTATTTCTGTACTATATTTTTCCTGAAGAAATTTACCCCTTGTTAATTTTTAAAATTACCTGTTAGAGCAATAGCATTGAACATTTTGCAAATTAACAGATTTGAATAAACTATTATTTGCCTAAATCAACGTATTATCTTATCCGGAACTCACACTTGTGTGAGACTTGTTTAATATTTTTATTGTGTAATATCTTCCCATCACCTTGTATATAATTGAAAATGCCTTAGTATTACACAATTTAGTCTATCGTGTGGTCAAGGTAAATATGAAATGACAATTGCTCAATGTGGACTTCAAATTATTAGAAGTAGAAAGAATATAAATACCATTATTCTTTAAATGTAATGCTTTAAAATTTAACTTACAAAAAAAATTCCATGAACATTTAAGTGAAATAACATACATAAACTGATTTTTTAAAGAAGTTTAAGAAAATTAATTTTGAAGATCTTATATCTTTAACTTATGGAATTCACAATGGAATCCATAATGTCACCCTTTTACTGCCTTCAGATACCTGCCAAATCCATGAAAAATGGATACCTTCAAGATGTCTACTAATGCTGTTACATAGCTGAGTTGCATGTTAAAACATTTTACAAACACTTAGACTGAATGGAATAAGGAGACATTAGTATACAGGTGTGATTTTTGGATAATGAAAAAATATTGTAAATTTCTTGATCATTTTATTTCATTATATTCAGATTTGAAGAGTTATAAACTTGAAGTCTTATTATACAACTACTATAATCATGACAGCCTGTTATTGGCAGAAATATGAACAGATAGCTCAGTGGAACAGAATGGATTCCAGAAGTAGATGTCTCATATATTTGTCAGTTATTTTCAAACAAGGCTTCATATTCAGAGATAAATCTAGGAAAGGACAGAAAAAACCTATATAGTAGAAACCTCAAAACATTGCTGAGAAATTAGCAGACATCTAAATGTGTGATACACTATGTGCACATATCAGAAGAATTGATATTGTTAAGATTTTAGTTCCTCCCATGTTGATCCAGGTAAACCCCATCTTTCGTTTTAAGAAATTACTTGTCAAATTGATTTAAAAATTCATTAAAGATGCAAAGGTAAAAACTAATGCTCTCCAAGAAATACTCAAGGAATATGAAGAGACAAATCACAGACTGGGTGAAAGTATGTTCAAATCACAAATGTTATAAAGGATTTGTATCCTAAACATAAAAAAAAAAAACTCTCGAAACTTAATTCTGAGGAAACAACTAAAGAATTTAAAAAGATTCAAAAGGTTGGAGCAGAAACTTCACCAAAGAGTATAAAGGTGTGGCCAGTAAGCACAAGCAAAGACCTTCAGCCTCCAGGAAGAACATGGAGCCGAAGCGCCACCCACACAGTAAGTGGTGGCAAAAGTATGGAGCAACTGGAACTCTCACACAGCTGGTAAGAATGGAAAATGAGCAAACATTCTGAAAACTCTTTGGCAGTGTTTTCCATAGGGAAATGCATAACTACCATATTACCTAGCCATTCCACTCTGGAGTACTTTACCAAGACAAAGGGAAATATATTTTCATTCAGTGACTTACAGATGATTCATACCAAATTTGTTTATTGTGGTAGCCAAAAATATTGCTTCATGGATAAATGGATAAGCAAAATGTGCTGTATACATGTGATGACTGCTACTCAACAAGGAAAACAGATGTAGTAGTTTTCCCCCAGTCCCACATGCATGAGTCACAAAATAACTATGCTTTGGGAAAGAGGCCAGGCAAAAAAGAGTGTACATTTCCGTTATATAAATTTTTATGAAAACCTAATGAACGTATAGTGACATTAAGTACATGTGGTTTGGTGATGGAATGCCTATGAGGCAGGTACAGTAGTCCTTTGAGGGTATTGGTTGTGCTTGTTCATTATCTTGATTGTGGGGTAATTTCATCTGTAACAAAATGTAGATTGTGTACTATAAACATGAGTCAATTGCACCTCCTTAAAGCTGTTTTAAATGCTTTATATGACCTTATATTGCCAGTTTAGACAGATATGTCAAATTAGTGAAATAATTAATCGTGTTCTTTTACCTTGCGAACTATACTTTGACATTGGTGTGCAGTTAAATTATTATTCGTTGAAGTTTGTACAAAAATTCATTCTTAAAATGAAAACATTTTCTGGTATGATTATTTGTGATTGTTTTTCTGTTTCTATAGAATATTCTTTGGTCAAATTTTAAGAGATTGAATAATTTTCCTTTAGCATTATGCAATATTAATATATGTTTTCCCTCAAATTAAGGTAAATTGTGCCATCTTCATGAATACAAGTTTCTGTGTGTCATCCAGTATACTAGATTTGTTGACTGCAATTTAAATTGCTTGACTAGAGTTTTTGAAATGGAGAGCAAAGAGTTATGTAGACCTAGGGGGATGACATGATTGGGTTGTTGAAGGTAAGATTTATCTTAAGGACAGGTACCTAAAAGAGACAAAAATCATTTTCAAATAAATGTGTTTTTGTTTCTGTCTGCTTTGTAGATTTTTTTAATAGAAATAATTCAATAGTAATACTTCCTGACAAGATATACTAAATGTTATCTTTGTGTCATGTTCACTAACTACGCAGTACCATTAATTTTTTTGCTGTGTGTTGGCTGCTTATCTTCTGATTGGGTCTGAGCTCTTGATGAGAACCATGTGTATGTTCCTTCAATCATCGTGAGGAATATCATCTTCTGTGTTTAGAAAATGCTTTCACAACAATGGTAGACAGTAGCTGGTCACTGAGCACTCTGCTAAGTGTGCTCTTTTGTCCTCTTAATCCTCACAGACACCCTGCCTGTTGGTGTTGTTATCCTCTTGATGTTTCTCAAGAGGTTACCAGGTAGCAAGTGAGATATGGCAAAACCATCTGGTGTCATCCAGCCCTCCATTGTGCTGTGATGAGAAATAAAATGCCATCACGCAAGATGTGTATGTGATAAGTCAAATGTTACTACAGCCATGGGTAAGGCCATGTAAGTAGACTGAGAGGACATAGGATCCATTTCTAAACAGAACAGATAGAGTGTAATTAATAGATTGATGTAGAGTAATTTTAAGCCAAGATATTGGAGCCTTCAGTTTGTAAATAAATCAGTATGTGTATAACACTACCACAAAAAACTGAAAAACAATTGGTAATAATTATGGAAAATACATAAATTTAATCCAACATATACACAAAAATTGTTAACAGAAAAGTCTATTTAGAAGAATATTACTCTATATTAGTTATTTGGGGTAAAGAGAGAACTAAAGTTTTTCTCTCCTTTATCACTGTCCAATAGAAATGTAATGTGATTACGTGTGTAATCTTACATTTCCTGGTAGCTAATATTAAAAAAGGGAAAGGGGAACAGGTAAAATTACTTACGTAATAGTTAATTTAAGCAAACACAAATAAATTATCCTTACTATATGAAATCTATATAACATTATTAGAATATTTTATTATTTTTTGTACTAACAATTTGAAAGTTAGTATGTGTTTTACACTTCCAATTCAGAGGGTAAATTTGTATTCATTGTATATAATCTATATTTAGATTTGATTAAACTTGTTCTTTGAAATGTAAGTTCACATTCCCAAGCTGTTCCAGACCTCTTTAACCATTTTGCAATAGTTGAGTATCAGTTGTTAAATTTAAATTTACAATGATTAAAACTAAATAGCCATGTATCAAGTGATCACCAGCCAATAGACGTTGTGGAATGAAAAGCCCAGCAACGCTTTGTGTGTGTCAGTGGAAGAAGAGGTTAAGGGGGAGAGAGGTGTCTGATGAGCTGTGTGCTTTGTTCCACACACCAGCACTGCTGCCTCACCGTCTTTTGTCTTGTGGCTCTATCTGAGCAGTGTTGGTATGTTTTAGAGTGGTATTAAAAATTATGCTGGAGGTTTCTTTGAGGTCTGTATCTTTCAGTAACCTTAATAACTGTAACTTCTTTTACTTCTAACACTTTTTGTTGTTGTTGTAATAGGGATTGAGCTCAGGGCCTCACAGTTACTAGCTAGGCAAGTGCTTTACCACTTTAGAAACACCCACAACTCCTCTTTTTCTTCATATTTAAAGTGAGTAATCTGATAAGTTTTATGTTCTATATTCAAAGTATACCTCTGTTATATCTCTCACCATCATTTTAACCTCACTTTGATTTTTTATAATGACACTTACGTAACACAGTTTGTTAAATCATTCCAGCTACTGTGCTGAACCATACTTATAACAGTGTCTTGTTTATACAAGATGCACTTTAGATATGTGCTTTATACCTTGCTTATATTCTGATATAGAAATAAAATAGTAAATGTTTTCTAACTTTCTCACTCTGAGAATAAATACTCAAGTATCCCGAATGTGTGGAATTCACTGAATGATACTCTTAACAGTTTATGGAAATGAAAATAATAAATTGATAATAAAAATTAAAATACCAGCTTAGTCCTTTCATGTTCAGTTGTTACTGTTCACGTACAACATTTCTTGTTCTGTTCCAGGAGAAAAACCTTTCAAATGTGATGAGTGTAACTTTGCCTCCACAACTCAGTCCCACCTGACTCGGCACAAGCGTGTGCACACTGGAGAGAAGCCATACAGGTGCCCCTGGTGTGACTACAGGTAACAAGCCAGACTACCTCCCTCCTTGACCAGCTGGAACTCTACTGTATCACCAACGCAGCTAAAGTTTTTCTAGTGAACATAAGTTAGCATACTTTAAAACATGACTACCTATTAGTGGGGAGTTTATTTTAGTACCTAATTTTTGTAACTTTGAAAAACATTTTAAAGCAGTTTTAATTTCTGAGTAGACAGGTAGTGGTACATAGGTTTCACAGATACCCCTTCTCCTCCACATGAGAGCCTTCCTGATGATCAGTGCCCCAAACAGAGTGGGCCATTTATCACAAGTGATGTATCACAAGTGATGAACCTAGGTTAACGCAACATTAACACCCATGTCCCTAATATAGTAAATGTTGTGGATTGCTACAGCTTTGAACAAATTTATAATGACAACCATCCACCATCGTAGTATCATACAAAGTGGAAGTCATTTAAAATACCGTGCTTTTTACCATCTTTATAATCTTTATATTGACGTTTGTCATACCTGAATGTGCAGTGTTGCATTTCATTGCTTAAGATAAGGAACCATTGCAATCAGTCTGTTATTGACCATGTATATGGTGTCTCATTTACCATGAGTGAAGCACTCATTGAGAGGGTGAGTAAGGAATATTTCCTGCCTTTAAGAATATTATAATATAATAAGCAACTTGAGTTTCACAAATAGTTGTAGTATAGATTTGAGTGAATAAATAAAGTGACTGGGGGAGACCTCCTACATAGATGAGATAGATTCCCACAGAGGGAGCATCTCAGCTGTGGAGTGAAAGGTAGTGAAATTTCAAGGAATCTGTGTGTGTGTCTGAAGTTAGGTGGTGATGGATGGCACATGCAGAATGTTATTGGGGAAAGCTTTTTGGAGGTCATGGATGCTCAGTCCAGTCACTATGGTCTGTGATGACTGAAAGATGTAGTGCAGATTGCACAGGTCCTCAGGTGTGTGTCCAGAGGCATGGTGGAAGTAAGATGGAGACTAGAGCTTGCTGCTGGCTCAATCTTCCCTGCAGCCTGAACGTGAATTTGGACCCCATTTGGTACAGTGGCATTGGCAAGCAGCTGAATAACTTGTTTTAAGTAACCTGTTTCGCCATTGAGCTGAAGACCTCTGTGTCACTGCCACACACAACAATGTGGAAACATGAAGCCTGCTCTGTTGAGTATTATAATATGTTCCCTAAACATGGAGCTTTCTCTAAATATCCTATGTAGCCTTTGCATTCGACAAATATATTGCCATAATTCTGTTATCAGCCACATTATAGAGTTAGGTTTTATGTGAAAGGTCATGGAATAGTACGGAGATATTGCAGATGTATTTCATTCATTCATTATTTATTCATTCAACAGTTTATGAGTTCTATCTTGACATAACACTAGATTAGTATTTCTTGGAAATTTGGGAAATGGTGATCCAATTAGAGATAGTAATTCCAAGATGGTGATAATATATATTCTGTAAAATACAAATATTATCAAGTGCTGTTTTTCTTTATTACAGAGATGATACTATATAGTTGCCTTCACTTTAAAGCAGATAAGTAATTAGAAAATTATAAGAATGTCCATTAATTACCACTCTTAGCTCCTAGGAATATATGATTTTAGTCTGTTCCCTGTACATGAGGTTTTTATTGTTTGGGGGAGGTGAGTTTTTGGTCTCTTTTGCTATAAATTTTATTTTTCATACTTAAGATGCTGTAACTATCTTTCCATGTTAGTAATCAATCTCTAATAGAACTGTGTTTTTCAAACTTCTGTTTTTAAGTAGCAGAATTATTGTGTAAAATAGAAGTGTATTATGCAAGTGTATTTCATAGTTAAAATCTAATATTTAATCATTATAAACTTAACAGATAGCACAGTAAGACTATTTTAACAAGAGAAACTTTTAAGATGGGGTCAGTTATTGATGACAGTTGCTGCTGGTTTAACCTTGGCATCTCGTTTCTGTCTTCCTGGACCAAGCTCACAACCTGTGGGTGTGGGTAAGCACACAGGCTGTGAGGAGGATTCAGCATCAACATCTTAGTGGAACTCGTTAAACTCTAGGGCTGCCACATCTCCATTCTTGAGTTGTGGATTATTAGTGGGCCATCCTTGTGGGACCCCTGTGGGTATCGTGTCAGGCACGCATTGTAGTTTTCTAGCCAGTGACTGGCACCTGGAGTTCATGATGCACGTCTGCGCTCGTGTCTGTTATCATCTCAGTGAGTGCTGTAGCATGCTGCAGGTTTTATTTTCCCTTTCAGTTACAAGATGCTATTCAGTGAGTTAATGCAGAGCCTCAGTGTCCTGTAGGATTTTAGTTTGTTTAAATTTTATTTATAATGTATTCCAACATGGAGGGTTTGTTTTACAGTTTTTGAAGTAGTTAAAATTTTATAAATTCCAAATCAATCTTGGATAATTGCTGAAATACTTTACAGATTCAAATGCCTAGTTTGAAAACCAGTCTTGTGTAATATAAGTGTAATAACTGCACAAACCCGTTTTAGTTAGCCTGGTACATAATAATCAATGTGTTAAATTCTTAGACATGTACACCATTTCAGGTGTTTACTCTGAAAACGTTAAATCTTTGTGCATGTCTACGGTTTTTTATAAATAATAAATTTGTAGAATTTGTTATTAAAGTTGGTATTACTACAGCCAAAGTTCTGACTTGACTTTTTCTATGATCTGAAGTATGCTGGGTAGGATTGTGATTTGTATGCACAGGTATATTTCCAAGTATTCCAGGTTTCTTTAGTTGGAAAGAGTCTTGTAACTTTGCAAAGGTTAAGGTCATAAACCTTGTCCACCGTGCAGGTTCTATTCTAAAATAGCATTCCTCTCTGCAGCAGTGCATTGGCTCCAGCTGGACCAGTCCATGCTGCATCCCCGACAGGCACTGCATTAAAAAGGACATGAATGGTGTTCTCCATGTTTATTGTTTCTGCCCTGAATTTCTTTTCGAAATGCTTCATGTCCTCAATAAAAGTGTGGTTTTTATTTTTATTTAAAACTTTTAAATAATTTTATAATTGCTGAAAGTAAGCAGTTCGAGCCTTTCTATTCATGCAGGGGCTTTATTCTTCTGTGTACATGTGGTTAGGTTTGCTTTTACAAGTGAACAAAAGGCAAGTTAACCTTGACAAGGAACTTGCAAATATAGGAAGTTAGGGACTATGAATGAAATGTGGAAATTAGAACAGATCACCCCCCCTCCTTTTCTTGTTAACAAGAAAAAGGTTTTAGGATGAGCATTGTAGTAATTTCAGAAAGTTTTTTTTCCCCCATAGGGTGGATACCACATAAACACAGGAAATATCTCTTTTGACAGGATAAATTTGAGTATATATGATTTATATAGATGATCACATATTAAGATGACTGCTTATTTCCTAAAAAGATATTGTCACATTTTTATGACTTAAAATATTTAAGTAACTTTTTCCCATTTAGATTTCTATTTGCTTAGTGTACATGTAGAGAAAAAAACTCTTCTGTAGAATATTCCTGTCTATCTTTATTAACACTACTTGCAGGTAAGTAAGGAATTGAAATAGTATTTAAATTTTATTTGAAAATACATTTCTCATTTTATAAATTGAGCATTAGTGCAGAAATACTAGTAGTTATGATTATTCATGAAAAACGTGAATATAGATTTGTTTACAAAAGAATTTTATAATTGGTCTTTTGAACCTAGGGCTATTTTTCAAGTTTGCATTATTAATTTAGGCAATGACATCTCATTCTATTTAGATGTAAACATGGACCCCTTTCCTTAGCTTTTACTGTCTAAAATATCCCAACGTCTAATCCATTACAAATCATTACTCTACATCCCATCATTATTCCATAACATTTTCGCCATTAATTACTGTGCATTATAATTTCCAAGCATAAATTTAGATTCATAGCATACTGTTCTACCGTGTTATTTATCTAGCAAATTCTTTAGTTTTTACATTAAAATGGAATCACTCTAAATTTTTCTTTTTTATTTCTTTATGTATTATCTTGTCTATATTAATGAGAGAACAAAATACAACATCCTTTTACATGTTGTAGTAAGTCTCCTTTCTAATTTTTAAATTCGTACTTCCCCACAGAATTTGTTCATGTCCAACTTCTTTCTGTTTCACTCAGAACGTTGGCTTACATATGAGAATTGATGAGTTTTGCTGAAGCAACCACAAGTAGGTTTTTCTTATGTTTCTGTTTGCTTAGTTTCTTATATTTCTATTTTCTTATTTTCCTCTTGGATTCCTTTTTGTTTCTTTAGGATTTGTGTAGTAAATACAGTGAATGCATAGTAAACAATAAGCCATGAAAAGTAACACAAAACACTGCCTGCTGTTTTCAAAATATTAAGGACAATCCTGTAAAGCAAACTAGTTTTAACTGAATTTTTCCTCAAACTCATAATTGTCTCAATACTTCTAACCTTACATAAGCTTTTTTCCAAAAAAATGTTTTTTACTGTTTCTTTTTGTACTGTTTTCTTTCTTCACTGCTTGAAATCAATCCCAAATAGAAATACTGTATCTCATGGAGCTGAGGAATGAAGTCTACAATTCCCATCTCATAATAAGTATCTATTCCATGATTTTGCTAAACTTACAGGAAAACACTCTGAATTTTCCCCTTATTTGGTAGCTGACTTACCCCCAGCCAGTGTTTTCCACAGAAGTCATTAACTCACTACTTTTTGATCTCAAGAGGATTTTCCGTTTTTTTTTTTTTTATTTTTTTGTGTTAGGGGAAGGCTGAGGGTATTTGAACTACCTTCCTTACTCAGGGAGCCATTGTCTCCACTAGAAAGCATGCTTACCTCTGGCCACACTCCCTAGTGTGTCTTTTATTACTCATCTAAATCGTCATTCATGATTCTAACCATCAGATTTGGTGAGTTCTTTCATGTATGACTGTAGCAGAGAGAATTTACTATTAGGTAACACTGCTTGAAGTCTGTGTAGATCTTAAAAATTTGTGGGGAAAATACT